CAACAAAGTTAAGAAATGTCCCAAGGTTGAAGTTCAAAACTCCATAACTCAACTAATCTTAATCGGATTTTGAAGTGGCATACCTCTAAATGTTTCTGGCGCAATTCTCTAAAAAACTGCATTCAAATTTAGAAATTTATTTTTTTTCAATTTTTTTGTAATATTTCTGATGTGATGATGTGTAGAAATTCAACAAAGTTAAGAAATGTCCCAAGGTTGAAGTTCAAAACTCCATAACTCAACTAATCTTAATCGGATTTTGAAGTGGCATACCTCTAAATGTTTCTGGCGCAATTCTCTAAAAAACTTCATTCAAATCAAGAAATTTATTTTTTTTTAATTTTTTTGTTATTTTGTTTGATGTGTCATTAAAAAAAATTAAAAAATGTACCAAGGCTGAAGTTCTATACTCCATAAGCCCAAAACTGTCAAGCCCACACTTTTAGTAATTTTTTAATCTTTTCTTCATTTTATCATTTTTTCCCCATTTTCTACCGATATTCCAGAAAATGTATAAATTTCTCGTTTGCACTTCCACTAGCTGAGTAACGGGTATCTACAAAAGTCGGGGAACTCGACTATAGAATATTATCTTGTTTTTTCTGTGCATTTCGGCTTAAGCTTCGAAGCTCGATTGGTGCCATCCAGGATCTACCCAGTTATTCAGATCCCTGCCAGGAATCCAGGAGCTCGAGCACGAGCAACCCCCATTGAGTGCAGCAAAACGACGAGGGGAGGATTTCTCGGCTTGGGCGACTGCACAATGGCAAAGAACTTGACGAAATCATTACTTCGCCCCGACATTTATTGATGCCATAAAGTTGAAGATTTATGCGTTGTGGCAGTCGCACAAAACAGCCAAAAAGCACCCGCCCAGGAGCATTGCACCCGGTCCGGGGGGAAACCGCACGAGGCGAACGGAGAACGGAGAACGGTGAACGGTGAACAGGGGGAACGGGGAACCCACCCGGCCAGGACATCGATACCCAGTTTCCCCTCGACCAGGAATAGCATGCTCGCTACGTGGGCATGTCAAATGCTTGCTATTTTGGCATATTGCAGCACAGTGGGGCACGCTGGAATAACCCATTTGTCCTGCGGATTTGATCGGAAGGGACACCCCTCCTTATCTCGCCCATTCAGATACACACTCACACACCCACACAACAGCGTGTTAATTTATTTAAATTGACTACGTGCAGAGTTTACTTGCGTCTTGGGCCCCCGCTCCCCCCACCTTCCCACCTTTGAAGGAGTTTCGTGGGGGAACTGTCTTCTGTTTGCACAAATTTCACATTTTACTGCGCCCCGTCGACGTTTTTGTCTACAAATGCAAACCAATTCAGCGGACTGCGGACGGGAATGTGTGGCTGAGATTCACGGCATGGCTATAACCGACCATCGCAGTGAGGTACTATGGTTAATAGCGACTGAATCTTAAAACATTTAACTACATTTTTATTTGAGAAAAAACTGTCCCTTAGTTGAGACAAACAATTTATGGAGCAAATCGGAAGTCGACGTTAGATAATCAACCAGTTTTATTTAAATTTTTATAATTTATACACGATTATACATTTAAATGATAGTAATACTTTCTTAGAAACGGCAGTTTATATGCGCTTCAAATTCAATAGTTACCTAATTTCTTGACTATAACATTAAATTCACATAGTTGTAATCTCTTTTTTAGCATAAGCCCTAGGAAAAAGTTTTAATTATATTTTTTAGCAAAGTCAAAGTTATTTAAAACAATTGTTCTTAGTTATTTTTAGTTAAATAGTATAATTTACTAAGTCTGTAAAATAACCGTGCTTTAAACAATTCTGTTACATCTCGCGATGGCGAATCATTAGCCCCACTCATATTTCCGTAGGGCATTTGGCAAACGCTCGTGCATAAAAACTCATTTGAAAGAGTGCCTCACCGGCTTCCTTCGCTGGACGACAGCGAAGGGCAACAGAGACAAGGCCCAAAGGGTGCTCCTCAAGGGTGCTCAAGTGCACATTGGCTGCTGGCTGGAATGCACGGGCACAGCTGCTCCTTCAACAATTCGCGTGTCAACAATAAGCGCAATAACTTAAGCTTCATTCAATGTGGTGAGCTGCGGCCCGGGGCAAGTGATGAATGCCTCTCAACGTGGAGGAGACCAGCAAGCTAATTAACCAGCAAATGGATTTCATCTGGCGAACACTAGGCACTTGTGCTTCTCTTTTTCCACTTGTAAAACACAATCTCAACAGTTTGCTTTCACATTCTCTTTGCTATCATCTATGGCGCATGCAGGACTTCTCTCTTTTGTGCTCATCTCTCAACAGCTTTAACAATTGTCTTTGGGCTACGAAAAAATACGCACAGCTTAAAGTAAATAATTAACAAATCAGAACATATGCTTAAGAAGACTTGTATATCTGTAGTGGTGTATATACGTGAATCACAAATATTTTGATCTACAACTCGGGCAAAAAACTAAATGGATTATATACATATCAAATGAACTATAAAGATTATATGCTAAACTAAACAATAAATTTTAATGCACACATTTGAACGTGTTTGGTTGACTAGATAGCGCTGCCGTTGCTCCCTACATCTGCCCCTATTTCAGGGGATTGTTCTTTAAGTAGTTAGCCAGGAGGACGAGGGCAAATGATGAAATCAGAAATACACTGCCGGGAATAGAACGCCTAACAGGTAAATTGGGATCAAGTTCTCGCTGAGCAAACAGCTCGACATCAGCCTCGTACGTCTGGTAGTTGTTCCAGTGCAGGCATTTCTTTACCGCATAATCCCAGCGCCTGTAGAGCAGCTCTCGACCTGGAAAAAGAATATAGTTATGTTTATTCAAAAGAAGTAGTTATAGTAAATGGAAAGATGGTATTTCGTTGCAGTGACCTAAATTCAACTTACGATTTTTGGTAGTCATAGGCGCAAAGACATCCGTGGGCGGTGTGTACATTTGAACGGCGTACTTGAGGGACACCACTTTCATCGTCACGCCCGCGGTTATCATAACGCCCAAACCTGCAGGCGAGGTGGTCTGCGGCCGCTCCATCATGTAGCCGATGATGTCCGCAATGAACTGCACCAGATGCGAGTTCTCGGCGTAATCGCCGCCGAACGTGAGCACAGGCTGCATGCAGGAGCGGTCCCAGTTGGGTGTATCGCTCTTGAACGCCTGTAGCACTTCAAAGATCTGGAACCCGGTGGCCTCGTAAGCAGCTTGGGTGATGTTTTCCGCTGTTGTCTGGCTGGTAAGTCCCAAGATTATGCCCCTGGCATCGTGCCGCCAGTAAGGAGCGTACAAACCATGAAATGCCGGCACAAACGTAATCTCCGACCTCTTGGCCGCCAGTCCACACTCGGCGTTCAGCATGGATGAGGAACAGGAGGACGAGATCATCGAGTTCTCGCCGATGAATGTATTTAAAGACTCCACCACATTATCATTGGAATTTATCTCAGTACTGATCTGTAGTTTATCCCGCAGCCATGTCACCGTGGAACCGGCATTTGAAATGGCTCCCTCAAGTGTGTAGTTAGTGGCCTCTTTTTCGCCCAGCTTGTGCGCTACGCCCGTTATCAGTCCATTTGTAGAGTCCAGCTTCTCCCTGCCCGTGTTAAGGAGCACGAAACAGCTATCGTCCAGGGTGCAAATATTTTGCCCGGCCTTCACGCAGAGCTGGCCCAGCAAACTTGCTGGCTGCTCACCCATCATGGCCGCTATGGGAACGCCCAGCAAGGGACCATCCAGCACATAGCCGAATATTTCGGAGTTGGATCGTATGCGTGGCAGTATGTTCAGGGGCAATCGAAAGAACTGGCAGAGTTTAGGATCCCACTGCTCTGTGGATAGGTTCATAAGGGCGGTGTAGTGGGCATTGGTGAGGTCCGTAGAGTGCACACCCGTCTCCACGCCGCCGGTGAGGTTCCACAGAAGCCAGGAGTCCAAGGTGCCGAATAAGCACTTCTTCTCCTCAATGGCAGTGGCTACAGAAGGAACGTGATCCATCAGCCAGCGTATCTTTAGGGCACTGAAACAGCTGCTTAGGGGCAAACCACTGCGATACCTCACGTAGTCCACATTGTGCCGAACATTATGGAGCATGCTCTTCAGTATGGAAGTGCTGCGGCAATCTGACCAGCCAATGGCATTGTGCAGCGGCTGTCCCGTCTCCTTATTCCATAACACCGATGTGCCGCGTTGATTTACGATGCCGATGGCAATAATATCATGTGGATTAATCTCCAGTATAACCAGGTTCTTATAGGCGGTCTGCAAAAGTAGTTATATTAGTTGACGCATGATGATATAACCCGGCGATTAGGCACCTCTATGCACTCTTGTGTGTTCTTCCATATCTCGGAAGGATCGTACTCCATCCAGCCCGCCTGGTGGACAATCTGACGCAGCTTGAGCTCATGGTAGGCCAGGACCTCGGCATTTTTGGTTGAGTAAATCTATAGAAATAGAATCTGAGTCAGCGGCGGTTTTCGGCTTTTGGACCTTCTCACCAAAAAGCGGCAGTGGGTGCTGCTCACGCAGGCGACACCGATGAGTGCTCCGAATCTCCCGTAGCGCCCGTTGGACATCTTTGGCCTGCCCGGTGTCCACGGACACGTGCTAAATGGTGTTAAAGCGCGCTAGCCGAGCAAAATAACCAAGCCGTGTTTTGTTGTTGTCCCTTTTTGGAATGCCAATTGTGTTGTCTAGTGATGTAAAAATTCGATGTTTCATCGTACATCGATGTTAGTTATCGGTTCTTAGCGAATACTCCAACCGCAGGCTGCTGTACAATTTCCATTACGAAACGGTTCATCGGGACCGTGGGCATAATACAAAGTTAATTAAAAATAATAATTTAAAAGAGTTTATATTTTATATATTAAAAGAATTTAATTTTTTTTCGATCCCAAGTTCTTAAGTTAATTTATCAATTAATGCCTAGTTCCAGTTCTATATTTGTCGAAACTTTTTGTTTTTACGCAACTCTAACACTCGGTAACCCTGCCATTTTTGGCTTTGCACAATCTGGTCACACGTTTAATTTTCCGGGCCCTTCTCTCCACGAAGCAAAATAGAAACAAATTTCACATATTTCATGCTAAATTGGCAAAGATCCGTACTACCATGCTCATGAGTCGAGCGCTGTGCCGGAGCTGGCTGCCCCAGGTGGCGTAAGTAAGCGGGCGGCGACAGAGTTCCGTATCCGGAGTAACCCAACTTAAACTTACAGCCACAGATGTCATGCTAATGTGAATATACCAATCCTGCGGATAAACTCTGGTCATCCAGCGGCCAGGTCATGCCGGCAGTTTCACAGAAACCGAAAACAGAGCAGCAACCTCAAGCCGACGACTGGGGAGCCTGTGGCAGCGGAGCTGAACACTACGGTGCCGGTGAACAATGTGATCAAGGCCGTGGCTTTCACGGGAGCAGTAAGATTCAATTTTGGCCAGCACTTGAACTGGAGTTACATATAGCTCCTGATTCACATTTGTAGTTTACGGTCGGCTGCTTTGCGGGTGCCACCATCTTGGAGTACGAGAACACACGTAGCCTGATACTGGAAAAGGCGCGCCAGGCGAGATTCGGTTGGTGGCAGAGTCGTTCACTGGCGGACAGGGATTACTGGACACAGCTCAAGCAGGAATTCCGACGGCACTGGGACTCACTGACGCCCGGCGACAAGATGTTCGCTCCTATCTTACTCTGCAATTTGGTGGCCTTCGCCATGTGGCGGGTGCCCGCTCTGAAAGGCACCATGATGACCTACTTCACATCTAATCCAGCGGCGAGTAAGTGCTAAAATCCAATATGAACAGAACCAGCAATATCATAGTAGCTAAACCTTGCGAAATGACGTATTTCTAAGCTATATGCCAAGTTAGATTTAATTACCTTTTAAATCACAAAAAAATATAAATGTATACTTGTCTTTAGTGATTTATTATGTGTGAATTTGGACATTATAAAAATGTATCATATTAGATTCATTCAATAATGAAAAGACTTCAAATCACACTTAAAAAGAAGTAGATGAATCTATTTGAATCCATGAATCCATTTTTCCCACATACATATGGTTATATAAGATAGGAATTTAATGTAATTATGTCAGATTGTTGCTTTTAGCTTAATACCAAATGACTTTAAACTATTTTTCGCTTTGAAGTATTTTTAAAATATTATTATTTTCAAGCTGATTAATTCTATATGATCCCCTTCTCGCAGGAGTCGTCTGCTGGCCCATGTTCCTGTCCACATTCAGCCACTACTCGGCTATGCACATATTCGCCAATATGTACGTGATGCACAGCTTCGCCAACGCTGCGGTTCTTTCGTTGGGCAAAGAACAATTCTTGGCGGTCTACCTCAGCGCCGGTGTCTTCTCCAGTCTGATGAGCGTGCTCTACAAGGCGGGCACGAGTCAGGCGGGGATGTCCCTGGGTGCGGTAAGACAGCCTTTATTCAATGTAGTATCTATAAACTTAAAAGTCTTGTTTAGTCTGGAGCTATAATGACACTGTTGGCCTATGTATGCACCCAATATCCGGATACGCAACTTAGCATTCTGTTTCTGCCCGCGCTGACATTCTCCGCTGGAGCCGGTATTAAAGTGCTAATGGGCATCGACTTTGCCGGCGTCGTGCTGGGCTGGAAGTTTTTCGATCACGCAGCGCATTTGGGCGGCGCCATGTTTGGCATGTAAGTTTGGCTTGTATATCCTTACCATCACTGGTTATCTTATTAATCCTGCTGTAATCGACAGCTTTTGGGCCACGTATGGAGCACAGATATGGGCCAAACGCATTGGTCTGCTGAATTACTACCACGACCTGCGCCGGACTAAGCAGAAATAGTACAGAAGGATTGAGGGTTGGCCGAGTGAACGGGCAGGGAGCTGAGGCTAGAGAGTGATAGCAACTAGCACTCTGCTGTATCGATAATAATGACATCGTTCTGCCTTCGAAGTTCATTGAAATCAGTTAAGTTGAATAAAGCGTTAACATCCTGTACTCATGTGGCTTCCCGGCTCTTTTTCGAAAATTGGGGTTGATCCTTTTGATTTCGCAGAATACGAAAAGCCACCTCATTCTTTCGTTGCTGCATCTTCTCCCTAAGTTCCTCGACGGATTCCCGTTCTGGAGCGTAGGATATGTGTAAGGTTCCACCATAAAACTGTTGGGCATCAAGCATCTTCTTGGCTCGTCTGGCCACCTCTAGACGCTCGAATTTCACTGCAAACACATCTGTAAAAGCTTCCAGCTCCACTAGAACAAAAATAACATTATAATATAGATCTTGAACAAGGACAAACGTACTTTTTGAAGAAATCTCTGAAGTTACGGAAATGCACGATTGCACTTTACCAAATCCCTGCAGCTTCGCCTTGAGATTAGCTTGAAGGTTTATTTTAGGTACACCAAAGATCAGCAAATGCCGGGACTCACTAGCTACTGTATAAACCTACAAATTATTGAGACTTTAAATCAAGGATGAAGAAAACAATATTATTATCTCACCTTGACAGCTTTCAATTCCCGGCCTTGACGGTATTTAAGTCTGGTTGTGCAGTATTCCTGACGTTTGTGGTGTTCAGAAGAAGACGCTTGCATATTCCGGCTTTTAAGAAATAACCAATAACTAAACAGAATTGTTTGCTAATATTTTCAAGTCCCCGACCTATCGATAAATATCATCAGTCAGCTGTTAGTTATAATACTGTTGTTAATAACAGAGCTGTAATGGAATTCACTCAAAGTTGTTGAGTTGAGTTACTTTAGCACCTGTTGCATTTCCAAATAATCAACGATTCCCAATTAAAAGTGGCAGAATTTTAAGCCAATGACAACAAAATCTAAAACTTTGTTTTCACATCGGTTTATTTGTTGTCTAATATTAGCTAAAGGGCCAACACTTTTTCACTCAAAACTAATTGCTGCCGATTCGTCAGCTGTTGATTTCTGGAATAGTCTAGGGCTGTCACATGCTTTAAATATCGCTTACAATAGCATTTCAGAAATGTATATTTTATGTGAAACTTGTCGAACAAGCTGCAGACCTAAACTTTGAATGGCAGTCTAAGAAGGTTCAGTAGAGTAAACTTCTTTAATATTATTTGTATAGGAAAGATGCCTGAAGTAAGAGTCTTTTAATTACTGCAGCACTCGACAACCCTGATTTTCCCATAGTTTTCCCATCACCAAAAATGGCGGCAAATCGAAACAGTTTGCCGCCCGGCATAAAACCCTAAGTATCTGAGTTTCTCTGATCATTTGCCACGCAAATATCAAACTGTACGCGTAATACACGCTGGTTATAGTGAATTTCACTACAGAATCAGAGAAGCCAATACCTGCTAAAAATAATCCACTTAAAAACATCTCAAATGGCGTCCAAGGAAAACATTGCGGACAACATGGAGAAATTCTCGCTTAAGGTAATCGACACGCAAATAAAGTCGTAAAGTTCACAGCTATACATAGACGTAACACCGCGATCAGTGTGTTTGTGTGGATTTCCCCAGCAAAAAGTGCTACGCAGCGGATAAATGCTGATGCTTTTTTGGCCCTCTTTCTTTTTTGTTCTTAACAGAGCCCCAGCAAGAAGATTCTGACGGAAAGCACCAACAACGTTCGCAAGATGTTCATTGGCCACGAGGCGAACGGCCAGTTGGCCAAGGAATCCTCCGCCGAAAATGGCATCGGCAAGTCTGCCAATTCCCTCATGGAGAGGTCCGTAACCCCCTTTGACCCATCGCTGGAGCCCCTTCTGCGCGAGAATCCCCGACGCTTTGTCATCTTTCCCATCCAGTACCACGACATATGGCAGATGTACAAGAAGGTGTGTATACCATACGATAATACTTTGTGGTGGCGCCAATATTTCAAAAAGGCGGGCATTCTGAGATAAAGCGCGCCAAGCGCCGGTCACGTACTCAACGTGTTTGATAACATGAATCAGGCTTTATGATAGCCAACCCGGGATACCTAAACAACCCCCTCCCACATTTCTAGACCCCTCCCCATCCGCTGATTCACTGCATCGTGATGTCAAAACTAGCCCTCGTTTTTGGCGGGAAATTACACCACATAACGATTACATACTATACAATTTTATGTAACCATTTACATTTCCCGCCATTTAATTGCTTTGTTGTAACGTCGTTTACATTTACGTTTACAATTGCTTTAATAAACTCGTCCGAGCTGACTTAAATTAAACCATGAGTGGCTCTTATAAAGATAAAATGAAATACATTCGTTTATTTTACAAGCGTGGAAAACTCGCTTAGAAAATACGCAATTACATATACATACATACATATGTATGTATCATGTGTATAAATATTGCTCAGCCTTTTGAATGATGTACCTTCATAAACAGCAAAGTATATAAATTAAATATAATCAAATGTACAGTACTGATCTATTGACATGTTTATGATTTCCAGGCTGAAGCCTCTTTCTGGACCGTCGAGGAGGTGGATTTGTCCAAGGACCTTACTGACTGGCACCGACTGAAGGACGACGAGCGCCATTTCATCTCGCACGTGCTGGCTTTCTTCGCCGCCTCCGATGGCATCGTAAACGAGAATCTGGTGGAGCGCTTCAGTCAGGAGGTGCAGGTCACGGAGGCACGCTGCTTCTACGGCTTCCAGATCGCCATGGAGAACGTGCACTCGGAGATGTACAGTGTGCTGATCGACACTTACATCCGGGATCCGAACCAGCGCGAGTACCTGTTCAACGCTATCGAAACGATGCCGGCTGTAAAGCGCAAGGCAGACTGGGCCCTGTCCTGGATCTCCTCCAAGTCTGCCAATTTCGGGGAGCGTATCATCGCCTTTGCCGCCGTGGAGGGCATCTTCTTCAGCGGCAGCTTTGCATCCATTTTCTGGCTTAAGAAGCGCGGTCTAATGCCTGGACTGACCTTCTCCAACGAGCTTATCTCTCGCGACGAGGGCTTGCACTGCGACTTTGCCGTGCTGATGTTCCAGCACCTGGTGCAGCGACCCAAGCACGAGCGCATCATCGAGATCATCCGTGACGCGGTGGCGATTGAGCAGGAGTTCCTCACCGATGCCCTGCCCGTTAATTTAATCGGCATGAATTGTGACCTGATGTCCCAGTACATAGAGTTCGTTGCGGACCGTTTGCTTGTGGAGTTGGGCGTTGGGAAGATCTACAACACCAAGAACCCCTTCAACTTCATGGAGATGATCTCGCTGGATGGAAAGACCAACTTTTTTGAGAAGAAGGTGGCAGAGTACCAGCGCATGGGAGTGGCCAGCAACCGCCTGGACAACGTGTTCACCCTGGACGCGGATTTCTAGGGCTGGCCCCGGACATCATTGTTGCAATTTAAACCTCTCAAGGGCTGGCTTCTCATCCTTTATATTTTCATCTGACGGCGTTTATATGTAGTCCGTTTTAATTTTAACGTAGGCTAAGAAAGATCACAGACCTTCAACACATTCATCATTACTTGGACCTCCAATTTTGGCTCAAACACTGCAATTTTCCACACACTTGACTATTACGAGGAGCGTGCGTACCTATTCCGAATTCATTGTACATAAAACATTCTAAATAAATTTATGCATAGACAATTATTAAGCACTACAATTAAAAGGGAGTTTTAATATTCTAATAAAAACCTTCGAAACTTGGAAGTGATTTGGGAAATTGTAGAATTCAAATATTCAAAATTTCAATTTATCGTCGCAAACTGAAGATGGTAGGTAAACTTATCGATAGTCACGAGGTCTTTAACATTGCAAGGCATTGAGTCAAAGAATTCGATTCTTAGTTTTTATCAATTTGGCTTAAATTCCTATTATTAAGTTTACATTGTTCTCATGGAATTAATTAAAAGTGAACAACAGGAATGGATGATTAAACCAACCGAATGCCGATAGCATTATCAGTCTGGCTGATAATAATTGTTAAAAATGCGAACATTATATTAGAAGTAGTGGCAATAAGCAACAATGGACAGAAAGTGGAACACAGAAAACGTGGAGGAGCAGTGCTCGCTCCTGGCGACGGATATTTCAACCAGCTCGGCAGCAGCTGCTTCCGGATCCGAGGACGAGGCGGTGGCCACCAGTGGGGCTGTACGCAGTAAAGCGACGCTGCGGAAGCGGCAGCTAAGAAATCGCATGCCGCTTCCCAGGATGCTGAGACGCCTCGGCTGCTACACGCTGAGCGCCTTCATAATCTGTATGCTGTTCCTCGTCTACCTGCCGCTCGTCTACTTGGATGTGCACAAGCGTAGTGGTAGGACAATGGTTTCCTTAACACCCACATGCATTTTTAACATGATCCATTGATACATTCACAGCTGGTCTGCCCGATTGGACTCTGGAGACCTCCCGCAGCATAGGTGACTATCTGGATCTGGGGCGCAACTCCGCTCTCACTGTTCCTAAGGACTTTTGCCGAAATAAAACTTTCCTGATAATCGCCGTATGCACCGGTGTCGACAACTTTATTCAGCGACAGACCATCCGCGAAACCTGGGGCAACACCACTGAGTTCAATTACCCAGCCTTTGTAAAACTCCATGGCCATCTCAAGGGGCACTACCTGCCGCCACTGCCCGAGCGTTTAAAGATGTACAGGGATTACCTGAGCGGCGAGGGCGACTCGCTGACTGCCTCAGTGCGCATTGTTTTCATTGTGGGCCGCCAGAAAGATGAGGCCCTGTTGGGCAACGAGACCCTGACTCGCATTCACATTGAATCGGAACAGTACAACGACATCATTCAGGATAACTTCGTGGATAGCTACAACAACCTGACTCTTAAGTCTGTGATGGCTCTAAAGCACATCAGCCTCAGTTGCGTCAACACCTCGGCCTTCTTCCTTAAGTGCGACGATGATACCTTTGTGAATATACCCAATTTGCTACACTTTCTGCTCGGAGGCACTATACCGTTGTACAACGATACCCTGGACTACCACGATCGGTCCTCTTATTTGGTCACTGCACCGCAAAACCGACTGAAAGCCAGCAGCGAGGTGATGTATGGCCATCAGTTTTGCAACGTTGCGCCGGTTAGTGAAGTAAGCAGCAAGTGGTACATGCCCTCGTACATGTATAAGCCGGGGTCGTATCCCAAGTATCTTTCCGGAGCCGGCTATCTTTTCTCCATCGATGTAGTGCAGCGCTTGTTCGAGGCTTCGTTTAATACGACGCTGGTATACCTGGAGGACGTGTACATCACTGGGTTGTGTGCGCAAAGGGCTAAGATCGATAGACACCACCACCCGCTCTTCAGTTTTGGCCACTCAAAACAGATGTGCGCTTTTAAGGGCAGCATCACCCAGCATCAGTTAAAAGACGATAGCATGGTGGTCGCCTGGAACCACGTGGCCAATTACTCCAATAAATGCCCGCCTCCGGGGCCGTACTTTAGCAAAGTTCGACTGCGCAAGCGGCCGATCTGTTAGAAGTCCCAACATAGAACTTCAGGGTATGTCTACTACCCCTTCCCATTTCCCCTGCTCTCTAAAAAAGCCATAACCTACATGTTATATTGCTTCGGCATATATTCTTGACATTCAGTTCCTACAATTTCTTGCGAAGAATCTTGGTTTATATAACAAAATCCGCTTGATTGTCAGGCAATAGTTTTAATTCATCCTGATGAGGTCTAAACATACAAATGTAGATCACTAACGCATAAATTATATTTCGGTTGAACTGTTGAACTTCGCTTTTCAAGACATGCACAAAAATAAGTGTTTATGTATGTGTGTATATACAAATTTAGATTGATCATGGCCTAGCACCCCCAATACTCCATATCAATGTTAAAAATAATGCACAACGTAGATATCTGATAAATCTATATTCTTAGAATTAAAGACAGAGTTTATATTAATAGAGTAAGCAATTATTTTTGACTTGCCATCACATACATATTTATTTAGTTTTTAGTTGGCAGTATTTTTTCACATTTAATTGAGTTCACATGTAAATGTGCTTAGTTCACGAACGAAACCTACCTAATTGACGCACAGGAGTGTTCTTAATAAGAAATCATGTTTCTCATTTATGATCCCAAAAAAACTATATTTATTAAATCAGATTGCCAAATAAACAGTTTTGTTTTTGTTCAAAAGAGCAAATAAAATTTTGTAACCAGTCTACCCAATTTGGTTTTTATTTTGAATATTCTGATCTCTGGTATAACATTATCGAAACTAGCCTTTTCAAAGACTGTCGATTTAAGGGGTTTTAGCCTGAATAAATGCATATTAAGTTCTTGGAAGTGCTTAGGCGACTCAGTAGGATCGTGGCAAGAATCTGGCTATTTATAAGAAGGTACAAGGCTATTAGTATCCTCGCATTGTTCTTGGTCTACAGGATATATCATTTTAAGTCGGATCCAAGCAAACGGACCGGTAAGTTAATTATTCCTACGTACTGCTAATTTAATATATATTTTATACAGCTTCTTTGTCGGGATGGGGTCGTGAAACGCCAAGAAGTATAGCTGCTTACCTGGATCTAACCCAGAATACGGCGCTTATTGTTCCGCGAGATTTCTGTCGGAGCAAGGCACTTTTGACAATAGTAGTATGCTCCTTTGTTCACCACTTTGAACGGCGGCGTGTCATCCGTATGCTTTGGGGCAACTCCACCGACTTCAACTACTCGGCCTTTGTGAAGCTTCATGGCAATCTCAAAGGACGATACCTGGACGTGCTGCCCGAGCGTCTGAAACTGTATACCGAGTATCTGAGTGGTGAGGGTGACTCCCTAAAGGCCTCTATACGGATCGTTTTCATTCTGGGTCGCAGAAACTTAGCTTCCCTCCTGGAGAATGAGGCGGTTGCCAGCGAGGCGGAGAAGTATAATGATATTATTCAGGAGAACTTCATGGACACCTACAACAACTTGACCATCAAGGCTGTGATGGCGCTAAAACACATCAGCCAGAGTTGTGTAAACACCACCGCCTTCTACTTCAAGTGCGACGACGACACTTTCGTTAATGTACCCAACATTCTGCACTTTCTGCTCGGAGGAACGATTCCCGTGAACGCGGCTACGGCAAGGTTTCATTTCGGCAATACGTACGATGTCACTTCGCTGCGAAAACGATTGACAGCCCGCAGAGAGATGATGTACGGACTAGCGTACTGCAATGTATCGCCGATCAAGAATAAGTTGAACAAATGGTACATGCCATCGTACATGTTCCGGGGTGGAGTGTATCCGAAATACTTGTGCGGATCCGGTTACTTGCTGTCCATTGATGTGGTGCCACGTCTATACAAGGCGTCGCTGGGCACTAGAATTGTGCACTTGGAGGACCTGTTCGTTACCGGACTGTGTGCAGAGAAGGCTGGTATCAAGCGAGCCAGCCACCCGCTCTTCAGGTCCGATTATCCCATTGATGCAGATGAACAGTGCACCATCAAAGGAACCTTCACTGTTCACCGTGCAAGGGATGACATCATGTTGGAGGCCTGGTATCAAGTCACTAACTTCAGCAGCAAGTGCCCTCCACCAGAAAAGAACTTCCACTTGAAGCTGCCCAAGATGCAGAGGTGCTAGATTTCAAAGGGCCAATAAAAGTAAAGTATAGAAATATATATCTAATAAAAACTCATTAATTTTAATCATCAATTTTATCAAAAGATTTATAAAAAAAAACTAGTGGCCTTTTTAGATTTCTTCAAATTAAAAAAATATCTTTTTAAGATACAATTACAATTATGAGAATAGTACGCCGATTGCGCTCGCATCTGGCAAGGATCGGTCGGCTTATGCATCGGTACAAGCTGATCCTGCTTGTTATGTTTGTACTCGTTTTCATTTACCAGGGTTCCATGGCGAAATACATGGACATCCGGGATCGACAAGGTAGGAAAACCGGATCGGAAACTACTTGTTGTCACAATCGAATCGTTTTGTCTACAGCTGACTTGAGCGGATGGGAACGAGAGAAGCCCAAGATACCTATCTGGAACCGGCTATCTGCTGTCCATCGATGTGGTTCAGCGACTGTACGAGGAAGCCCTCACCACATCTGTCGTCCATCTGGAGGATGTTTTCGTCACTGGCATATGTGCAGAAAGAGCTGGAATCCAACGGCGTCACTTTTTATCTATGTTCACGGGAAGTCACTATGCATTTTTAAGGGAACCATTACAATGCATCCTGTACCTTTGCACAATATGCTGGACGCCTGGGCTTCGTTTCCAACTATAGCATTAAATGTCTACCGCCAAAAAAGCAGTTCGTCAAAACTTATATAACAAGGAAATCACACTGCTAAGACTTTAATTACATTGCTTTACAATTTTCACTCTTCAGGAGATAAGCCTAGAATTACACATTAACATAAATTTTATATACTAACCTAAATACTACTTAGTTTTTAAGCGACTCCATATGATTCTGTGTTGCTCAATATAAATAATCATTGAGAAGTGGATTGTTTTTACAAATCTCAAATTGATTCAAAAGTTTCGTGGGAGTCTTGGCTTTTTAAGCAGTTTGGAAACATAACAATGCATTGTAGAATGCAATTTCTATTTGTATGTTGTATGATCATTTTTAAAAATTCGTTGAGTGAATCAAGCAAATAGTCATCAATTGTTATTTGTTTACTTTGTGCACCTTCAGATGTGTCAATTTTATTTGGTTTGTACAAAAGAATTTTATTTGAAAGCTATTAACAATTAACGTGCCCGACTTATATTCTCAAGAATACGCGGTTCAATGATGTGAATATCTAAAATAAAAACTATTCCTTATGCAGAAAACAATAATTTTTTCAATGAGAAACAGATCAAAGTATTTACATACAAAAAAGGATTGTGCTATTTTTGATTGCATTCAATTCCAGCACAAATACTAAATGGCAGGTTTTGAGGTCCACAGCTAAGATTCTTCTGCGGCGGGACCTCAAATGATCACCACAAACTAGCCAACAATCTGCGCCGTGGCGGGCTCGTCTGGTGCAGAGTCATTTGCTTCAAGCGTGGATCCGAATTCTGTGTCACAATTTTCGGCGGGGCTGGGTGTTTCGAGAAGTCCAATCTCAGTCAGCGATTCCGCCTTGCTCTCATCCTCCTTCAAGAGGATCTCGGGTGGCTCCGTTGTTTCGAGTGGGAGATTTTCAATAAAATCATTCGCATCCAAATCAGTCTCATTATTGTTTGTATTTTCGGAAGCCAGGCCGCTGGAACTGTCCAATGCTTTCATCAGCTCCTCCGTTGCTACACTCAGCTCTATGCCTTCCATGGCAATGACTTCGTCTAGAGCGCAATCTAGTAGTTCTTTGGGTGCTTCATCAAGTTCGGTAACGTCCATGCATTCCATGAGTTCCCCTGCGGAAGACTGATCAATTTGTTTGGAAGTGTTCAAGGTTTCAACTATGATTAAATCGTCTGAAGTCGAATTTTCTTTCTCCGCACCTGCATCCTTAGGTTCTTCGGCATCTTCTTCTGCAGCTTTAGCTGGGGCTATTGCGGAAGCTTCTCCACCAATCTGTGCCAGTACCACTACCTTTTCAGATTCTTGCGATTTGTTTTCATTACCTTCCTTGAGGAGCTTCTTTTCGTCCTCCCCAATTAAAGTAGGATTTTCAGAAGATGTTTCAGAATCTCCATTTTCATCTTCCATTTTTTCAGTATCACCTTGTTCTTTTTCTAGTCCCTTTTCGGTCCCGCAGCCATCCTCTTTTCCCGATACCATTTCAGCTCCTGAATCTTCTTTACAATCGGTTTTCTGATCATTTTTTGACACCTTTCGAGATTCATCCTTACTTTCTCCCTTCACAATGTTTCCTTTTGTTAAATTTTGTTCTTTGTCTGCAACTGTTTCTATACCTGTTGCTTTGTTCTTTTCTGGATCAGTGGGTATTTCTGTTAAATTTTCATCCACTGGCACTTGATCTTCCTCCAGGATTTTCTCGTTTTCGCCAATTTTGGCTTTTATTGCCGCTTTTAGTATATCTCCGATTGTTTCCTTGTTCTTGGATTTTTCCTTATCAACCTCACCGTGTTCCTTTGTGCTCTCTTTTTTGGGTGAAGATCCCTTTTCGGAAATTTTCTGACTTTCACTTACTGGCGTTTGTGTTACGTTTGATGGTTTTGCGTCATTGGTGGCCAATTCCTGCTCTCGTTTCCTGCATTCCTCAACCCATTTTCGCGCCACTTCGAACTCATCCTCAGCTCGCTTCAGCTTGACCATGACCTTCATTTTCAGCTTGGCATCGGATTTCTTCATGTCCTCCATGCGTTGACGTTCCAATTGCAAAAGTGCCGGGTTTGGCTTATTTGTCGTCTTCTTGCGTGGCTGCTTTTTTTGTCCAGGAGAGACAGGCTTTGGCTCGCTGGCGCCTTCGTTGACCTCCACTTCCAGCAGGCTGGCCAATATCGTGGAGCTGAATGCAGCCACGTCGATGTCGGCCTGGTTGTTCTCTTGCAGTTCTTTTTTCGGCGCCGCCGATGTCACAGATGTTATTTTCATAATAGCAGCTTGTTGAGGCTGTTGGGTGGCGGTCGAGGTGGAAGGCGTGTCATCGTCGTTGTCCGAATCAATGGTGATGGTGTCCGTTTTGGGCTCCACAATCTCGATTTCGTTATCTTCGTCATCGCTGGCTTGTTTATCTGAAAGGCAAAAGTTAATGTTAATATTACTCAATAATTTAGTTCATTAAATATACAATTTTAAAATTCCCTGAGTACCAATTGAGTTAACAAAACTGCCGACAGATTAAAAATGCATTAATATTTTAATTTATGGCTCCTAGCAAAGTTGGCAAATACAGTTTAGTTAAGCTTAAACGATAATCTCATAGTACAAAAACTTAACCTAAGGGTGAATGGAATGTCACGTCTAAATGTTGAGGAAGCGCATCTCCTCGAGCGGAAAGTTGGAGCGCAACTTCTGCAACTTGCGCTCGTTGACCCGCGGATGACGCTCCATCTCGCGTAGGTAGCACTCGTAAGCGAACTTGGCCATCTGCCAGCGGAGCTTACAGGCCTGGGCGTCCCGCTTGAATCGGGGTAACCGCCTGGCCACTTCCGGCCATAAGCGCTCCCTGGCTCCCACATCGCTGTAGTCCACATGCCGTGGATTCCAAAGTGTGGGATATGCCCGCATGGCCAAAACCAGTTGCTGACAGAACTGCTTGTCATCGGGCATATCCTTAAGGTTTCCAGCTGACTCTGTGGCGGTCGGGACACAGTCCTGCAGTGGCTCGAACTCATCGCGGAGGTCCTGCTCATCGATCTTGTACAGGAAATACAAGCTGGCCAAGTACTTTGAGTACTTTAGCTCCAGATTCGCAAAGATGCCCTTATCTTTAATACTCTTCAGGCGAAAGGACTTGTACATCTCGTACATTTGCTGCCAACGCTCCACAAGATACTCGCAAGCATAATCTGTAAAAATATATATTTAAAATAAATCAAGAGGATCTAAGCGGCTGTGGTTATAGATCTAGATCTTAACGTACTGGGCGCCGACTTCCAAAAGTTCTGCCACAGGGACTTTCTGGTTTGCTCGTCAATACTGTTGAATTCGGGATCAGCGGATTTGCGCCATAATACTGGATGGCTTTTAGCGAAAGTTATGATGCGTTGATCAATAGGACGCACTTCGAGTGGGCGCATCGGCACTCGGCCACCTTTTAGCTTGATTTTAACTACTGGGTGCTTCAGTGCTTTTTGCTCCATTTTATTCTCAATTACGTCGAGATGCTTGCGCTCGAACCCGTCGCCGTCATCTTCGCCGCAGTCCACAGCCAGCCACTCGCTCCGCGGTCGATCCCTGTTCTCCAGATAGTTTGTGGCCTTATCGAAGTAGCCCTTGAAACGCTTTCCCTGCTTTAAGCGCCTCTCAATCCGAACGTATCGCTTCCTTACGTTCTTCCAGCGCAGCTTAATGTCATCGCCGCGAGGAAAGTGACTGGCAATCACCCGCCACTGCTTATTGGTGACCTCTTTCTTGCCGTAATCGGGATGACGGGTGCACCACAACGAAGGATACTCGCGAAGAAGTCGCGTTAACTTTCGATCGTATGCGTGAGCCTGTTCATTCCGATTCATGCTCTCTTCGGTTCCCAGTTCACCACACTCTTCGTTGTCCAAGTCATCGTCATCCAGATCATCATCCAATTCATCTGGCTCATCGTAATCAAAATCAGGCGCTTCTTCGTGGTCCTTTCCGATCTCATCTTGCTGCTGTTCCGGTACCGTTTCTGGTTCCTCGGGCTCATCGATGGGATCACCTTCGGCTCGAACTCCCAGTGGCATCAGCGGAGGCAGTGGCTCGCAGTCCTCGCCTTCCTTAAGATTGGCGTGCAAGCTCTTGCGGTACTCGTAGACCTGATTGTGAAAACTATTGCATCCTGTGTTGAAGAGATCCACGTCATCCAGTTGGCCATAGCACACATAATCAACGGCTGCAATAAACGAGAGATATAAAGCGTTAAAATCACAGGAAAAACTGCTGCTCGGTTCTATTCCATTGCCTGTTCTGGATGGTATTTTGTAAACACATGGACCACGCTTAAATTAACATATATTCATCGCAGCCAATGAAATGGAACTCGCAGTTTTTCATAAACACAGCATACTTACATGCTCTCTTTTCAATTCATCTTCGCCATCCAAACAAAATAAACACACGCGCGAAACGAAAACCGCGAATTAGCAATAATCAACGCCCGTCCATGTGTCGAAAATACGCTCCAAAGACAGTAATGTGATATTACTCCAAGTGGTGGAGGCACCTTTTTGTCAACTCCACCTAAAAACTATGATTTTCCCTTAATCTAACTTTTTTTTTGTTAGAATATATCTTTTGAAACCCCTGAATAATATTTAAAATTATATTAAATCTATGGCTTATTACCCAAAAAAATTCTTTAAATATAGCAAATTTTGTAACTCACCAGCAGCTAGTTGACCATTCTCCAGACTGTTGGCGTCATTCTTGAAGCCCTTCTCTCGCATGTCCACCAAACATTTCTCCTGCAAGTTCTTGAACCGCCCAATCGCATAGGTCATCAAATAAGACATGTGGATGTATAGCTCCTTCAGTTCCAGATAACTGCGCACTTGGTTGTAGGCGTTCGAGTGGGTAAGGGATACCACTTTGCCGGTGAGGTGTGTGCAGATGTCCATGGCGCTAAAGATTTGCTCCTGCAGCTGCGCCCGTGCCTGTCCCATTGGCGTGTTTGGGAAGGTGTGGCGTACCAAAGTTGGAACCTTAGGCGGGGGTGGAGGTGCTGGAGTAATCATGAGAGTTTGACCGCCATTGACGTTGGGCGGAGGACCTTGTAGCGGTGGAGGAGCTGGATTGGCGTTTCCAACTCGTACATGCGGAGCCCGCTGCTGCTGGTTCGTCTGCGGGTTATAGATGCCCATGTTAGAGCCGTATGTGCTGATATGCAGTGAAGGCCTATTAGACGTAACCGGAGCGCGCGGTCGGATAACCACACCCGGTCCCACTTGAGGAACGACCAAGGCAGGCGGTGTTGGTGGTGTTGGTGGTGGTGCTGGTGCCGGCTGAGTGGCCTGGGGTAGCTGACGTTTAACTTGAATCAGTCGACCGTTGGGCAGGCGGTAGGAATCCTGTTGTGCAGCGCTATTCAAATCCACTTTGAACCCATTGATAGTGTGAAAGACTGGCCCAGTGGTCTTCACCGAGTTGGGGACTACAGTGCGACGCACCACACCTGAGACCCCACCAGGCGCATTTTGGCGGTAGCGGATTCCAGATCCACTGAGCACCAGAGGAGGTGGCAGGCTACTACGTGGCGGTGGCACCGATGAAGAACCACTTGTGCTTCCATTGCTGCTGCTGTTACTGGAACTTGGTCCCGGTTGGTAGTTCTGCTGGACGGTAACAATTCTCGGAGTGGTTGTGATACTCGCCGCTGGCACCGACTGACGGCCAGTTGCTTTGGGGGTTACAGAGAGCTGGCAATCCGGCTCCAGCATGCTAAGCAAATCCGGTGTGCAGACCACCTCGTCGTTGGAAGCTTTTGAACGTTTGGCTGGCGGTCCCGAAGGGATCGTTTTGGGCAAGGATCCTCGTTTACTCGAGCCTGAGCTGCCCTGACTGCGCTTGGAGACATTGGACTCCAAGCTCTCCATGGAGTCGGATAAACTGCTAGTTTTCGACTTGGCCAGGCGGCAGCAGTTACTGTTATCCTTCAGCATTTGGCGTCGGGCCTCCACCTCGGGAAGCTGTAGGGTCTGCAGGGCTCTGCAATTATTAAGACATTCATTAAAGTTAGAAAATTTACAGGAAAACTTGTAAAATAATATATCTATAAGTCTGCTGAGAAGAAGCCATTTCAAGCCTGGCAAGCCCTGCAAACCATCCTAAAACAATATTAAGGGAAAGTATAACTGAACGATTCACCTTTTCTGCGTCTGAAGGTAGTTGACCAGCGCCCAGTGCTGGGCGCGCAGTGGCCAGAGGATCTTGGAGGTGCAGCTGAAGCAGTTCCAGTGCTCGTTTTGCTCGATGTCCACGATGACGCCCTTGGAAAGATTCTTCACAATGCACGACTTGCAGAAGACGTACGGGCATGTGGAGCAGCAGTATACCTCGCCACCCTGTCCGCACCAGCGGCAGTACAGCTCAGAGCCATCCTCGCCCTTGGAGAACTCGCCGCTGTTGTAGAAATCGTGGCACTTGACGCAGTGCGTCACCCTCAATATGGGATGCATCTTGATGTTGCTTTCGGCGGCGGGGGCTGTGCCCAGGTGGAGTTTGCATACGGTGCAGTGCACCCTTCGCTGGTTCACCAGATCCACGTTGGGGTACATCTTTATGTAGAAGCGGCGTTCCTCGTCCGAAAGCGAGGGGTGCATCTCGAACTTGGAGCCTGCGTTGTGATATGTATGTATGTTACAGTATTAACCACATGGCTGATGTTCAGTACTCACTCGTAAAATCCGCTTCCATTTTGGCCAGTGGCGATGGCGAAGGCGTCGCTACCTTCGTCAGGGCACCTTCGCTCCCCGGCGTACTGCTACTCATGATTTCTGTTCCGTATCCGGGCTCTGGGTCTGGCGCCTTAGGATCCGCAGCAATTTTCGCTCCAAAGCGATAAATTCACGATTTTCTGCTGCCGTCGCAGAGAAAAGCGGCGCGCTAATCGCGTATATGTATGTTTGGCAACAACAATAACAAAGGGCTGCACGCGATGTGGGTTTATATTTATACTAGTTGGCCAACCGGCAAAAATATTAATATTTGCTTTGCAGCAAATCTCGTCGAAATGTGAAAAAGATTTTTTCACCCGAGAATGACAGCTAGGCCAAAAATTCAACATGGCTGCCCCTTCGGCTTCAAGCCGAAGTTTTCTCTACGAAGTGTATATAACTAGTTCGGTCCGATACTCTATAATTTTCTTCAGAAAACAAACCTAAAATTTTGATAAAAAAAAATATTTGAAGTTTTAGCATCAGAAGATCAGTAAATTAGCTATAATACCACTCTATAACATCATTCTTTTAGTTAAAAAGCAAAAAATGATACATTTTCACATTGCGTTTAAAATTTATTTTTTTTCAATTTTTTTAATCATTTCTATAACTTTAAGGGCTTATAAATTTATTTTAGTTTTTAAAATCGGTTTTCTTATTTTGTAGTCCCTGCAAGCCTTGGCAACCCTAAGCGCACTAGTCATCTCTTTTGCTCTTATCGTGCGTCCGTAAGAACACGAACACGTTAAGAAAGAGACAACATATATGTGTTGCTGTTAGTTAAGCAGTAAAATATTTACTATTTGTAAATATTCTCAATATTACAGTTTGCTTTAATCTGGTAACGTTTTAATTTCTCCCGCATTAAAAATATTGGAAATATCTATTGCATTTATCGAACTAGTTCCGAGCAATCGATATAGGTGTGAACGTAAAAGCATATCGATATTTTAAAATCTCCATTATAAAATCATGACTTAACTAATTATCATTAAAACAAGTTTCCAGAACGCAAAAACTAATTTAGACGGTATTTTGAAAAATATATCAAGTAAGGCTCGGGAAAATAGCATTAAAGACACTTTCCCCAAAAGATCAACTTAAAAACTTCATTGAACGAGCCAATCATCACGAATCGTTGTATAAAATAGTTAGTGAGTGATAGAGAATTGTATTAACATTCATATAATATATACAATACATTAACATACATGGACATTGAGCATTTCTGATCAGTAAATCGATTTGTCTGACTTATTTGAAGATCTCGTACTAAAAATTATCGAATACTAATTTTATAACGGTACTATAATTTATAACGGTATGGAAGTTTTGAGCAAATATCACCGTGTACTTCCCAATACTTTGAAATACTCGTACTTTGGCAATTATACTGTTACTAACAAGTAGGCGATTTTTGTATTTATTTATGGTTTAAATGCTTTACTTTGTACTTTATCACAGGTTTTTGTATTTTATGTACCGTATTTGTATTTGCATATATCGATAATCACATCGATAAATGGCATCGAGAAAATACGAAATCGATTATACCCTTTGTTTTGGATTTAACTAAACAAAAATACCGCATCATTATTAAAACAATAAGAATTCATCTCAAAACTTTGAGCTATAGATTTAAGAGGAATCCGCTGAAGTAGTGATAATATAGAGAATGTTTTAACATAAACTTCTATGGTTATAAGTTATCAAACATTTACACAAACTTTTAGTATTGTTCTTTCAGAAATCGAAAGCACTGACATCTGAAGGATTGTACGACGTCACATCCAAACAAACGAAATGTAAGCATATTTACTTCCACCTAAGCATAAATTAGAACGTTCCATTTGGTCTGATAATCCTGTCCAGAAATTTCGAAGGATTATCGGTGGCTGCAATGGATAGTGGGTCGGCTGCCAAGACGGGCGATTTCTTCTACGGTTGGGATCTACTCTACAAGACCGTGCAGGCTGAGGTCGACAAGAAGTCTGACCTATTGATTGCCCTCGTCCACTTTTTGCTGACCAAGCATTACAACTTCCGCTGCGTTGGCATTGGCGATGATGTGAGTATGATTCTGGCCACTTATATTAGTGAAATTACCTCAATTTCAATAGAAAACCTTGCCGGAGGAGGAGGGCAGTGAGCTGCTGCCGGACAGCTGGAATGACGACGATACCAAGTACTCGCTGCGCTACGTGCACGATAAGATGCTCTTCCTGCTGCTGGGCCACATCACCGAGGACGCCCTGCTGATCAACCTGATGGACATCAACACTAAGAAGGTGTCCAACATCTGCGTGGAACCAGAGACCCTGGTGTCTGCGGTCAAAGGCGGCATCACCACCCTAATGCCGACCGCCTCGGAGATTGTTGAACGCTATCGCAGGGAGCTGCTGGACCCTGTTTTTACAGGCAACTCGCGGGAGGTCACCACACAGACGACCACCGCACCACGTCCCAGTGGATCGGATCCAGATCCCTTGCGCATCGGCGAGCCCAGGCGTGGCGGGTAAGAAAACTTTTATATGCTGCGAAGAATTTCAAATGACTAAAACAGGGAAACTAATAACAGATTTCTCTATTTAGATTATTACGTAGCTAGTGTGTAGTTTGTTATACACTCGTTAATCGATTGCCGTTGCTTAGATCCTTCGTTCCAGGTGTATTCGAGCCTCGCCCTTTTGGCTTTCCGGACATTGGACGCGGGGATCTCGATCCACTGGGTCGCGGTGGTCCTGGTAACCTGTTCGGCTTTCCATCTCGACCAAATATGGGATCTGTGCCCCGCTTCGACCCGTTTAGTCCCCTTAATCCGAATAGGTCGGGACAGGGTGGAATCAATCCAGATCATATGCGCCCACCAGACTGGAATCCCGATTACTACATGTGATTACCAGGGATGCCATGTGAAGTGAGCAATTTAAATCTTTAGTTTAGAACCACGAAATAAAGGTTTTCAAAATTTGAACTAATTTTGAAGGATTATTTTATTACTTTTCATACACAATACAGAATATTTAGATATAAAATAAAAAGATGCAGCCTGTCAGACCTATTAGAAAATACAATGCTTGTTTGAGTTTTTACTAGAAAAATTTGTAGCTAAGAACATTTTTCAAGTAAACACACAGACAGACCTGTTTAGTCGACGGCTGTCTAAGAAAATTTACAATAAACTTAAAAGCTTAACTGAAACTCGTAATGTAATGGCTATTCATTCAACAGGGTAAACAAAATTGGCTCAAGTGCTTAATCTCAAAACTGCTAGGGGAAAAGCGCGAAATATCGGTTGCCGTACCACTAAATATTACAATGGTTTGCCATTGCTCGTTTTTTTTTGTTGTTGCTGCTTATGCCTAGCCTAATATTATTTTACCATAATATTTTGCTAAATTAATATAATGTAAATAATATTTCAAGCTTTGTGCAGCCGGTTGACTTAAATTAGCTCTGCACGAAAGGCGTTTCCTCACGCCGGGATGTGCAAGTGGTGTGTTTTGTGCCCTGGCCGCTCAAAATCCGGCTAAAATCCCGCCCAGGAGTGGTGCGGTGTGAGCTACGCTCAGTCCCATTCCCCGATGAACATGCGTGGCGTGGGCACGTAGCCGCGCGTTGGCAGCGGTAAATGGCGTCCGTAGATGTGATTGTAGGGTGATTCAACAAGCTCCGAATCTACAAGAAGCACAGAAATCGGTGGTTACATAACGGGTGCGGGTACAATTGTCGGGATAATGAATGCCATATGTGTGCTGGAGTGGGTGGATTCTATTGGTAGACCTAGCAGGAGGGACAGTAATCCCGTGAAGGTCCAATACGATTTACATTATATTCTTTTTATAAATTCATTTGTAAATATTATTTTCCTTCACAGATTACACACCCCTCCGCAGGCTTTGGACTACCCTCAAAATCAGTAACCCACTCCCACTTGGTGTATGTACAATTGCGTTTCGTGACTGTCCAGGCTAGAGGAGTCCAAGGTGCTGTGTTAGTAAAAGTATCGTACAGTTTAGTGGTTCTGTTCACCGGGCAAGGAGGTAACCAAGATGCGTTTTTGGGTATAGTATATATGTATGTACAGCCACCCATCATCCGATCCAAAAGGGTAAGGCAACAAAAAACAATAACTAATATCGATGTCTGGGCCATATAACCTCGTTTCGATTTAGAGCAACCCCATACAAATTCACGTGTCCGTTTAGTAGTCGAGTATTTGGATTTTCTTCAGGCTGAGGCTGCGCGGCTTGCGGGGCTTTAGGTAGCCATAAATGGACTCCATGTCGCTGATGTCAAGGCGGCTGGCACTGCGTCCGGTTCTGGTGGCCGTCGGAGGCGGAGCCGAAGGTGCCTTACTGGCCGCAGTTGCATTGTTTGCGGCTGGGCTGGTGGCCACTGCTGGGGACATTGTTGGGCCACCGCCTCCTCTGGCCTTTCCCCCAGCAACTCCTGTTGCGCCTGCTCCCGCTCCCGCTCCCACTCCCGCATCCGCTCCGCCGCCTCCAAATGTTGCTGCAATGTTGGCTGATGCTGCTGTCGCTTTCGCTGCTGCTGCTGCTGTTGTTGCTGCTGCTGCATTTGCGGCTGCTGCTGCTGCTACTGCTATACTTTTGTTTTTACTATTGAAATAATTTTTGCTTTTCAACATGTCCTCATTGTCTTGCTTGGCGTTCGTTAGCTGTCTTTTGTGCTGGTTGTTGCTGCTGTTGTTGCCGTTGCCATTGCTGTTGCTGTTGCCATTGGTGGCATTGTCATATCTTTGTCTTTTGTCAGCGTTTTGACCCTGCTCCTGTCGCTTGCCGCCCCGCCAACTGGGCGCTGGCAGCTGGGGCTGCTTGTGGCACTGGCCCCTTTTTGGTCCTGCCGCACTGCGTCCCCTGTCCGTGTAGTCGATGGTGCCGCGCACGCGATCATAGATGTTGGTCGCCGATGGCGCCTTCACCGTAATGCGCTTCCTGCCGCCGTACATGTACAGTGAGCCCTCCTCGTTGGGCTGCTCGAAGAAGCTCTCGGTGGACTGCGACTTGGTGCGCAGCACTGTTGGCGCCTGCAGCTGGCGGAGATGGGAGCGATCCATGTACATGTCAACGGTTTCGGTGCCCTTGCGGCGTGGTATGTTCTCGGTCAAGCCCAGGTCATCGTCCAGGTCGAATGCCATGTCGAAGTCGTCGTAGTCGTAGCAGTCGTCGTAGCGTTCGTTTGTTGGTTCCGTAGGTTCCAGCTCCAGCACCGAGACATCGCTCTCGCTGCACCACTTAACCACTGCCGGCCGGACCTCCTGTTCCACCAGGCTTCCACTTAGCCGCTGGTGGCGCCTCAACTGCTGCTGACTCAGGCTCCTTTGCGGACGTGGCGGTGGAACTGCACCACAGAGAGGAGCCAGCGCATAGCAGCTCACGCAGTTGCAGGCGGAGCTCTCATCCGGCGCGGAGCGACGGGTG